AGGAATAAGATAGGAGAGAAACCAAGCCGAGTGAAGTAAACTGAGATCTCAGAAGAGCTTTTCCAGAATAAACTTGGCAATTTTCAATTGGCTTTTGTGCTCCTGAGCAGTGATGGTAGGTGAGCTGCAACCCCGTGGCCCTTACTTTTTCAGCCTGTTGTAGGTGACATCGTTGGCTAATTTCAGCAGGCGGTAAGAGCTCTCTCGGTCCAAGCTCAGCATGCCATCTCGAGACTCCTCAAAGGCAACAGTCACTGCTTTGGAGGTGACACGTGTTACAATGCCGGTGGAGAGTGGATCACCCTGGCCAGCTGAATCGTAAAGGCCCACAATGTCCCCTGCAAAGGCAAGTTTGAAAAGAGAGCGTGAAGTGGGGCAAACATTTTAAAAAGAAGCTCTTTTGGGGAGACGAGCAACCAAGCACAGTCTAATGCAGACAGCAGGACCACTTACACCAACCACAGCTCTAGCACCATGTGTCCTGCCAAGGTCAGAATTTGTGTCAAGCCCATAAGCTAAGGAGAATATTCTTCTCTTAGCTGACAGAAAGCGCACAGCAAGAGGGAGCAGAAGGACAATTAGCAGTGAGAAGGCACCAGACAGCAACTAAGCAGCTGCCTTCAGACCTCCACATACCACAGGTCTTGGAGTGGAGATCAGTGGTGCTCCCCATAGCCAGAGCTGCTCAGAAAGCCCACATGCTTTCACACAGACCTTGGGAAAACCTGACTTCTCTGAACTCTCAGACAAACCATTTTACATCCATTTTATTTTTTAATAATAGCTGAGGAGTCTGCATGACAATATGTGCCTCCCAGATGACTGCTATACGCTGGTCAGCAGAACTAAGAAAGACCAGAGATTTTTAAGGACTTGCTACAGCTTTTCGCAGTCACTGTGAGATGACGAAAGAGAGTCAAATTACATAGTGTAATGACGAAATGGAGATTTTGAGCAGGATGTTTGACTAAGTTTGTAACTTAGCTGGGGCTCATGTTCACTGAGGATTAAATTTCAGATTTACAAACTACGAGAAGCTTTCCTCCATAAGGTCCATCAGCTCTTACGTTAAAATGCTTGCATCCCAGGAATAATTTACTGCTACAGCAATGTTACTTCTCTTTGAAGAGCACTGACAGATGCTCTCAAGGCTGAGACCCTAATCTGCAATGAGTCATTTTAATTTCAAAGGTCAGCAGCTTGGAGGCCTGGGTGACAAAGAATGCATCAACAAACTGAACTTCAACACACTTCGAAATAGTACCATCATGCGGCGAGGGTCAGAAACAGTCTGGTTCCCCATGATGCACCTGCTTAGCAAGCTCAATGATCTAGCAAACTAAACCAAGAAAATTACTAAACTAAACCAGAAAATTATCTGGTGCAGCCAGCTTCTCTCTTGTGGACCAGTTTTGGAGAGTGCAAGGCAATATCCTCATTGCCTAAGGAAAAGAGAAGTGTCTCTGCAGACTCAGTCTTTACGAATATCACATTAGAAAGATGTTAGGAAGAAGGCATTGGTCATCTCTTACTTTACCTACTTCGCACCGACAGGAATATCACTTACCAGGACCGAAACTGTTATAGGGCAGCTCGGCGTCTGAATCGTATTTTCTAGGCTGAAATGTCACGAGCAGCCGTCCATAGAGGCCGGTTCTCTGGTTGGCAGCTTGCAGTTTTAGCAAGCAGACGCCTCTGCGCTGCAGTTCCTTCAGGGAGACGCTTTCCTGCCATGTCCTGGAAACCACACACAGGCGTGAAAACCATTTGCTGGACTGAAGCTGAGATTCAAAGCTTCAGGTGACAAAACAGAAGAAGACACAGGGAGGAGATGGAAAAGAAGGGGAAGGACAGTGGCAAAAGAGACATCAGCTTGTTGAAGTGTTGGCTTACTCGATCACTTTGTAGTGATGTAACTAGATTGGCTTCCACAGGCTCATTTTGAGAAATGGGGAGATGCTCACGGAGCCTGGAGAAGAGGCAACGCCTGTTTCTGTGTATTTTTCCCCCTCCTGTCTGGGTGTGAAAAGGAAGGACCTGCCCAGTTACCCACGTCCCACGACCCGGGAGAGAATAACCTGAATTTTCTCCGACCACATGTAAGCGCTAAAATGGAAGATTTGCCATCTTTTACATGAGGTTCTGCTAACCTCCAACAAGCACCACACATGCAGCTGCACGGGGAAGAGGAGTGGGTGTCTGGCACGGACTTGCAGGCTACAAGTGACTATGGCACAAAGTGCAGGCAGTAGCTCTGCAGACTGCTGTCCTTTGGGCCCAAAGTCTGCTGCAGCAGCTGTGTTTGCTCCACAGCCTCATTTAGGGGGGGCGTCTTTATTTTTGTATAGATCAAAACAAAAAAGAAAACCCCCCAGGTTTATTCTCCTTAGTCCCCCCGTTTGGCTTGTTTCCTGTAGGTTGGTCTGTAGGGAGCTGAGGTGTCAGGGAACTTCAGGCAGCCATGGGATGGCCTCGTCCTGCCTCCTGGCACCCTCCGTCCTCGGGGCTGGGTAAGGCCAGGCCTTACCGGCGCCAGAAGCGGGGGCGCCTGCACCCCCAACATGGCCCCACGCAACCTGGGGGGACCGGGTGATACCCCCGCCCTCCCCGGCACCATGAATCCATGTGAGTCAGGTGGGATTTGGTTTCAGCTCGAGCCCCGGGGCAGGAGGGCAGAGCTGGGCAGGGGCTGCAGGGTCCCAGCACCCCCCCGGGGTCTGGGGGAGGAGAAGGGGAGCCTCAAGGTGTTGCTGACGTGAGCTTGGATCCTATAGGTGACAGCAAGCCCTAAAGGGTTTTCTTCCCTCCCTAAAGGGATTCCTACCGGGGTGAGCTGGTGCTATAGGAGTGAGTCCAGCAGGGTTTCCCATAGGTGAGAGCAGACCCTATAGGGTGGGTTTCCTATCAGGACGTGCTGGTTATATAGGAGTGAGTACGGCAGCCTTTACTATAGGTGACAGCACGTTTCCCACAGGTGACAGGAGGTCCTATAGGAGTGAGTCAGCAGAGTTTCCTATAGGCGACAGCAAGTCCCTTAGAGGTATGTCCGTCCGGGTTTCCCATAGGTGACAGCAGGCCCTATAGGGGTGTGAGCAGGGTTTCCCATATGTGATAGTAGGTCCCAGGGGGAGGGTCCCTCAGGGTTTCCTATAGGTGACAGCAGGCCCTATAGGGGTGAGTCCGGCAGCGTTTCCCATAGGTGACAGCAGGCCTCGCCAGGATCGGTGCGTCGGGGCTGCTGTAGG